TCGGGCTAGGCCCGGGTGGGATCGGGCGGGGCCGGGGCGGGCTGGCCGTGGTGACTCCGTTTTAATCCTCCAAGGTCTTCTTCGACCTGCGCATCGGCGAGGAGGATGTGGGACGCGTCGTTATCGGGCTCTTTGGCAAGACGGTGCCCAAGACGGTGGATAACTTTGTTGCGCTGGCCACCGGGGAGGTGAGGTGCCACCAAACGCCTGGCCTCGTCCCACCCCGTCCCTTCCTGTCCACTCCCCAAGGGACCCATCCTCGTTGTCCTCTGGCGGAGCGGGCTGGAGCCCTTGCCTGCCTCTGCATTTCATTTCTCTCCCCTTCTCTGACCTCCAGAAAGGGTTTGGGTTCAAGGGCAGCAAGTTCCACCGTGTGATCAAGGACTTCATGATCCAGGGAGGAGACTTCACCCGCGGAGATGGCACTGGAGGTAATTTTGGCCCACAGAATTGTGCTGGGAGTCCAAGGCTTCCATTGGAGCTCAGCAAGCATCGGCAAAGCCGATAATAACTGGGGAGTTGGGGACTTGCTCGCGCTTGGCAGCGGGAGGCAGCACAAGGCCAGGTCCACACCAGGTCCTGCCTCTTCCCAGAGCTGGAGCTGGCCTGGGCCTGGGGCGTTTGTGGGCCTGGCCCAGGTCTGCTCCAACACGGGTCACTTTAGGGCTGGCAGTGGCTTTCCCCTCCCATCCCGACTTATTTCCGACTGCGCAGCCCAGCCTTCCTCTGCCCCTAGGCAAGAGCATCTATGGGGACCGCTTCCCCGATGAGAACTTCAAGCTGAAGCACTATGGGCCGGGCTGGGTGAGCATGGCCAACGCCGGCAAGGACACCAACGGCTCCCAGTTCTTCATCACCACTGTGAAGACGCCCTGGCTGGACGGCAAGCACGTGGTGTTCGGCAAAGTGCTGGAGGGCATGGTAAGGGGGCTGGCGTCCGCGGGCGCTGAGGACGGTGGCTGGGGTCGGAGCGCATCCCAGAGCCGGTGCTGCTCTGTGCTGGCCCTGCT